CTGGTTTGGTGTCATGTCTCATACTCAAGCCTTGCCTAACCTGTGCTCCCACGACCTCCTGCATATAGAGTTACTTGTAATTCTATTGTAGCTCCTGAAGTGTTCTTTCTAAGTAAGAAAATTCAGTTCATGTAGGTACTAAAGGTGTTTAAATAAACATTCTGTAGATCTGTAAAGCTTTCCTATTGTGATAAAAATTACAAGCGCAAACAAAATGGGATAAATATTGCATATAAACAGTGAAGTTATGTATATAATTTCAGTGCTCAGGAAGTCAATGCACACAGACCTCAAGCAAACTTCTCTGTTTGGAAAGAAGCAAATGTTGTTTCAGCAGCATCCTCAGCAGTTCCACGTGTAACAATGGTAATGCACAGTGATCAGGAAAACAAGGGGCAGGTGTCCTCTCAGGAAAGCTGAATTTTCTCAACTCACACTTATAACCATGCAAATAAGAATGAATGCTCATGTTGGGTTTTTATTTTTTCTCTATCTAAACAAGTACAACTGGTTGAATCAAAGATAGAAAAGAACATTTCAATTTCTGTATTCAGAGTATTTTAAAAAACACAGAAAGTATGTTGTTAGTCTTTGTTGTTTTGCTTGTGGTCCTGGCCAGAGGAGGAGTGCAAGCTGTAAAATGAATGCAAGTATCCTGGTCTTTGTCTCTTACCATACTCCCTGCATCCTTTATTCCTTCCCTCCAAGGCACCTCAGTTAGATGTTTCTACATCTCTCACAGATTCATCCTGGTGTGTAAAGAGCTGGATGGCAGATGCATTTCCTGGTCTGTCTTAAGATATCCCCAAACCTTAAAAAATGAAGAGGACAGAAGCTGTTTTGCCAGATCCAAACTGGGGCCTCCTCCATGTCTCATGTTAGTTTTTCAATCTCCAATCTATTAGAGACTTGAAGTCTACTCTGGAATGGATCTCTATGCCCATCTTTCTCACTGGGTCACTTGGTTCTATATAGTTATATCTATAGGAAACACAACTCTCAGCTTTATTCTTGTGCTTCCCAAGTGCCTAGGAAGGAGGGTGTTCTTGGGAGGCCATTCTGTCTGGATTTATCCAGAACCTACTTTATGCTTGTGACTATGATTATTTTATTTCTGTCAGACCCTGTTGTGACCAGTATATAGGTTTTAAGCAGGCACAGATGTGTTTCTCAGTGTCAGATACATGACCTCTTCAATTTCCTAACTCCTGGTGGTGTATCCCAGCCATGTCACAAAGAAATACTGGCATCTTACTTTAAATTTAGGCTTCCACTTCTGCGCTCTGAATAAGAGAACTGCTCACTCTGAGTCTGGGTATGTGAACAGAAATAAGATTTGTCCCTCAAAAATGCTTTTCTTTGTGTGTCCTTTTTAAAATATCATCTGCAAATAGTCTTGTAACAACATGAGCAGCATTAGTTAGTATATAAAACAGCTCTGCCTGTATCAAAGACAGATATTTTCAATGACTTCTGAAGAAAAAAGGAATTCCAAGGAAATCTCAAAATCTTTCTCCTTCTTAGATGGACCAAATCCTTGGTTTAGGAATTTCTTTTAAAATTTAATAGCAGATTTTATATATCAGAGTATGTGCAAGTATTCCATCCGTGAGTAACCTTACAGCCACTTTAGCTGTAGCTTACCTCCATTTACACTTAGTTTTCTGTCTTTTCCTGGTAACATTTCTTATTCATCTTATTCCTTCTCATTTTTGTTCTCAGAAGATGCAAGTGGTTTTTACTTAGGTTTTGCAATATACATGAAATGATAAACCCTCAGCATTATTTCTAGGACTGCATAGATGAAAAAGTGTGGTTTGAGGTTCTGGGGCTTTCTTCTTTGAACAAGTAGAGGATTACTTTCTCCTTAATTCAACAGTAACTTAAAGATATTTTCTTAAACTTCCCAGAAGAAACAGATGAAGAAATTAAAAGAATTTCACTTGGGCAAGGTTGTAAAAACAGAGCATTCTTAATGTGAATTGTTTTGCAGGCATAACAATGGATGAGACATCCAGGAAACAAGTTTAATGTAATTAAGTCATTACCCAGGAGATTCAGAGCACAGAACATCTTTTACTCAGTTGTCTGGTAAACTTGTTACCAGCAGGATAAAAAACCTGCACAGTGCACACATTGACATATTGCAATGCTAAAATTAAGAGATATTATAACCATGACTGGGTTATGAGAGAAGATACTTCTTCACCCAGGGCAGGGTGTTGAGAGGGGACAGAAGCTGTGTTATGAATGCAAGACATGGCTGAGTGTAGTTCAAAGGCACTTTAACTCCTGGTGCAGATTCAAGGCACAACAGATGAGCTGACTTCAAATCTTGCCTCTGGAGAAGGCAAGTTGCCCCAGATCCATCTGCATTTGTCCTGAAGTGAAGATTTAGACATAGATTCCCAAGTTCAGAAGAAGGTAGGAGATAATCACTCTCAAATATTTGACTCAGCTTGGGGAAAAAATAATTCAATTTATTACTAGTTAAAATAAACATTGAATTATTAGCTTGGATAGTGAGAAACAGAGAAACAAACACTAAAACACCTTTTGTCCCCTTTCTCAGGTTCAACTGCCCTGCCTGAATGATGCAGTTGGGCTTGCACTCAGTCCATCACAGTACATCTCTGGTTTTCCTTCCTCCTTGCCCCTTTTTTTTGCTCCAGAGTGGGCTCTAGGGGCTGCACTCCTGTCAGGAGTGTTCTTCTGCTCCAGGATGGGGTTTGCCATGGGCTGCAGGGAGTGCCTGCTTTGCTGTGGAGCATCTCTTCCCCTGACCTTGGTGTTCCCTCCTCTTTTCCCCACCTGACATTTTCTGCCCTTCCTTTTTACCTGTTTTCCCAGAGGTGCCCTATGCATGGATGGGGGCTCAGCCTGCTCTGCAGAGGGTTGGTTTGAGCTGGCTGGGACCATCTGTGTCTGGCATGGGGCAACCCCAGCTGTTCTCACCAGTGGCCACCCTGCAGCCCTGTGCCAGCATTCCACTGTCCCAGGCTGGGGATGGGGCGGTTCCACAGCTCATTTGTGAATAGTGAGTTTTGGTTTCTTCAGAAGAACCCCCTGCAAGCCAAATGTGAAGTCCTAATATATTTTTCTTTTCCAAAGAGGACTAAGATTCCTGCTGTAAGAACTGTTCCAGCAGAGGTAGGTAGCTCATGATAAATTTAACTGTAATCTCCTAAATATATGCTAATGCTTTTGCTTTCGATGTATGAGTATTCATGCCTCTTACCCATTGGTGCTAATTATCCAACATACATTACCATAAAGCTGGAATTGAGTGAGGTATGTTAAACTTTATTTCAGACAACTTTCCAGCTTATTCATCAGTAGGCAATTTCATAGCTCCCGGACACAGCTCACACAGAGTAACGCAGCTCCTTCAGTTTTCTCTGCAAAAATGACGAGACACAGGCCAGCTGGTCCCCCACTGCTCGCTCTGCTGAAATGATATTCCCATCACAACTCCTGCTGTAATCACTTCTACTAATCTTGTTCTCTCTCCTTCCCACGTAGATTCTCCAAATCATTACACAGGTTAACTCTCCCCCACCTGCCCACCAGTCACAGAATTCAAACAACGAGCCTCAAATTATGCTGAGAATAAATGGAGATAAACAGCAAACCCAAGGAGACAAATAAGACGAACACCTTGAAAAGGAACCAGTAAGTGAAATAGGATGTGACAGGCTCAGGAAGATGAGAGGAAATGATTTCCTGGAATGCAGCAGCAATTTCGTGCCAGCAGCGATGCGCCAGCTGCACTTGACCTTCAGTAACCTTTATCCCCGTCTCCTACTGCTGCTCCTACAGCTTCTCAGCCTGCTTCTCCTCCTTCGCTGTTGTGGTTTTCCTGGTCAGATACCTCATCTGACTGGTACAGACACTGAGTTTTCTGACATCAGCCTTTTCCTGTAAAGGTGCTGCAACCTGTGCATTTCCCCACACCTGCCTGGAGTGGGATGCAGTCAGGGGGCTCCACGGTGGTGTGCAGAGAAAAGTCCTTGGTGTATCTTCTCGATGGGTTTGACCTGACTTTGTCACATGTGGAAATTAATGTTCACCATTAACAGAACAATCCCTCAGGGAGAAATACTCAGAACTTTTTCTTGGGACCTTTCAGAAGGAGCTCTCGGTTGGCTTTGGCTGGGAATTTTCTGGCAAAGTGGATTTTTCCCTGGAGGATGTCAGTTCCTTGAAATTAAAGCATTTAATAGGAATGAATAAATGCCAATAAATACTCGGATGCTCCTTTATGAGGTTTAAGCATTCTGATTTGATATGTTTTAAGCAGGATACAATCACTTGTCTACTATCAAATATCTCATGAATAGGACTACAAAATATGTCTTTCAAAAACTGAAATAAAAATTAAATATTTTGGAAGTATCAAAGTGGAGTGTTTCTACTGGTATAATTCATTCTGGTGTGCATGACCCTTGTGCCCTTTTTCAGTTTCACCACTTTGTTTTGAGTCAGCGTAAGTGAGGGGGGAAATCTTGAGAATACTGGCAGGACTTGGTTTTGGGTATGCACAGCCATTCTGGTCTTGTTTTTCCTTATTTGAAGGCAGGTAGGCAAAAGGAAAGAATCTGCCATGTTATAAAAAGCTATTGTCAAAAAAAACTTGTTAGCAGAGACCACCAGCCGCTTTGGAAGGTAATATCCCCAGTCCAATGATACTCAAAATATTTTAAGAAAGAATGTCACTTTTTTGTTTAAGCTCTGCATCAGGATACCAGCTCCTTTGGCAACACATGGAGGCCAACAGGCAAGAACATCAAATATCTGTGTGAGCACTTCATTATATATTTGATGCAGTGTAGTACATCTCCTAATCCTGTTCCTGAAATATCACTGTAGCTGTGTTGTTTGGTCTCAGTATGCTCTTGTGTACGTACCTTCATGCACTGTAATATCAAAACATTTTCTGTTACTAAGAGCAGTGTGTGTGTGTGTGTGTGTGTGTGAATGCCTCTTTTTGTATGAAGCACTTCCCTCTGTCTCTTCTCAGCCTGTCAGGGAAAGAATTTGATTATTTTATAGAATTTCACTTTGTTTGAAGATGTTATTGAGGGATGTTCAGCTGGAAAGATGAGGTTTACACTGAAGTTTGCAAGTGAGTTTATTTTTCTCTCCTCAGGGAAGTCCATATCCAGCTCCTCCAAAAGTCATCTCCTCCTCTCAGGAGCATCTTGCCTGTTTGGCTGGTAGATCCACCGTTTGGAGAAATGCAGCTGCCATGGGAGGTTGTGACCAGAGAAGGGGAAGGAGCTCTCTCAGGTGGATGGGGACAGTCCTGCAGTGCACTTCAAATTTCAGGGTAGTGACGTTGAACTCGTCTCCACTCTGCAGGGAGCCCTGGCCAGTAAGCCAGAGCACTGGGGCAAAGTGCTTGCTGTGACCTGCGTTGCTGATCAGATGAGCTGTTATGGATAGCAAGATCCATAACTTCACTCCTGGATCTCATTTGAAGTGGTGGAAGTATAACGTGGTTCACTATTTCATCAGACCTAATAATCTACTGAAGGTAAATTAATGTTGTGGCTTTTTCTTCCCTCCTAGTTTATTTTACCTTCAACTAAGCACAGGCACTTTTTGTATGGCCTATAACAGATTAATTTCTTACAGCTGGTGGAAAATAGTTCATTTACACCAAGTAAATCTAAAACACTATTTTTAAGTCTCTTAGAGTATTACAGTTTAGTAAACCTGTATGCTAGGGAAACATCATATTAGGAGTATACCAATGTCTGTCTCTGTTAAGATTAAGTTATTTTAGAAATACAGATAGTGTGAGAATTTTTTTCTGGTTTTGTTGTAAACGCTAGTGTGCTCTCTCCATATTCTTTATTGTTTTGAGTTCAGATCAGGCATAGGATATAGTTAGTCTCATGGAAGCTGCCAAAGGTCCCCAAAAACCTGCAGCCTCATGATGCAAAGTGCTGACCTGGTACAAGCTCATTCTGCTGCTCCTCTTCCTTCCAGCATCATTGATGGGTTAACTTTACATGGCAGGTTTTAGGCTGGAAGGATGTCATCTTTTGTCTCCAAGCTGATCTCAGCTCGGAAATATGTCACCAACTCTGTATTGGAGGCTTTGGTGAGCTGCATAAAAAGAGTTATTTATCTAGGCTAGTCTGGTGTGAATTTTTCCTCCTGTGGGATGCAGCAGAGCAGTGATGTGACATTAATGACCAAGGGTGGTACAGGCTGGCTGCTGGCATGAGACTCCTCAGTTGTGGTGTTGGGGCTTGCCTGACAGTACCAACATTGGCCTGAAAGTTTCAGCTACAGAACTCATAGAAGTATGTCCAAATTCAACTTGTGTTTAATGTTTATAATGTTTACATTATAAAATAGTGTATTCACCCCATGTACTATGGATTTAGATTGAGAAGAATAAAGATTGAGGAGAAGAAAAAGATCTCTTGCATGGTTTTCTTGTGACATCTTGACTAGTCTGAAATCTGGATATTTGGCTTGTGTTTTTTGAATTCCTGAGGTTAGAGGTGGTGGGATAGTGAACAGGAATCAACACTAGTGAAATTCCACAAAAATCTACCAGAGTCACACTTTCACTAATACCATATATATTGTATAAAATATTTTCATAGGGAGTCAGCAGCTAATTACTTTGCATTCATATATGTTGCTGTAGAATTCAAGTAGACTTCAACTTCTAAAATTAAATTTTTTAAACAAAGTATTTGAGAGAGCTCATCAGCAACAGAGAAGTTATTTGCAGTATTCTTTGTGTAGAATATATGTATATTATCCTCACCTACTGTGGAATATCTTCTGCCATGCTTGTTATGTGGCTCTAGACTCCCATTAACTGAATCCCTGGTGAAAAGCCGTTTTCCTACATTATATTGTAATGCTCTTGTTAATGATAAATTGATGAAGAGCTGCTTTTTTAGATTAGGTGAGTGGTCCTTTGATAATGGGGTTGGAATCAGGCCAGAGGTTTTATACTACTTTGCCTGGAGGGTGAGAACCAACTAAAATATTCCTTTCTTGTGTTCTGCTAGAAAATGAGACAGTCAAAGAATTTCAGCTTTTAATTTTAAGAGAACAGTTCAGTAGTTTACATGGTGGGTATTTTTAGACTTAATCTTGCCCCCCCCGTATTTCTAATGAATTATTAAAGAAAGGTACTTCTCATGTAATTAGAGAGCCAAGCACCTTTTAAACAAGATCAACTTCTTACACTTGAATTGACTAGTTTCACTTTCTGTGGCAAAAGATCATGAGGCGAATAGTTCTGTGTGTTTCAAAGTTAAGATCAATTGTTCTCCTTTTCTAGTTTCAAATGCACTGGCTTAGTACTTTTGCTGTATCAGAAAACTGTTAGAATATTTACAGGTTTTTTTAATATAAAATCCAAATATTTTCTATTATTTCTTTCTTTGGGCAAGGAATGTGCAGTGGATTATTAGATCCATAGCTTTTTCTTGCTATTAGCATTAATATGGTTGAAATTAAGTGAAAGTAAAATGCATTTTTAAAGTGACATATATTTTATAGCTTCCAATCTTGGCTCTGATGGTCTTTCTCAGCTCTGTACCATGCCCTTTGGGAAAAAACACAGAGTGTGCATGCTCATCTCTTTTGATCATGATTTGACAAGGTCATGCCTTGGTAGGATTGGGCTGCCTATTATTATCTTGATGTTTTAAAATTTAGTGGTATACGGTAAAAAAGGAGAGAGAACAGTGGAAATTTAATACACCCAGTTGATGTAGGAATCTCTTTGCTTATTGCCTGATGGAGATATAGGGAGTGTAAATGTGAACTTTATTAACAGAGAAGAGAATCTTAAAATGCAATTACAGTAAAGCAACTTTAGGCTAAGGTTACAGATTTGGAGTCTGCATTTTGATTGTCATGTTAAAATTTACGTTTTTGCTTTAGTCCTCTATGAAAAACAAAGATACAAACAAAAAAAAAAGTAATAAAATAAAACAAGGTGTAGCTTATATTACGGTTAAGAGTTTAACACTTCCAGCACTTAGAGTTTCAATCACAAGAAAATGAGAGGTTTTTCTTGTTGAATGAGAGGAGCTAATCACACCGTGGGAGTGATTCATAAATCTCTTATTTGCCTTCTGCTTTCCAACAAGCATTTGCCGTGGTGATCAGAAGGAAAATTCAGTTCCACATTTAAACTTCTGTTCTTCAGCTAGGTCCATGGTCTGCCTTCAATTCTTATTCTTGCTAACTCACTGGCATGTAGTGCCAAATGTTCTACACAGACTTTCATTTCCAGCTCAGAGGGAAGTGCCTGGAATCCCAGCCCCACCTGGAAAATCCCAGCACTACCTGGTGTGTGGGAGTCATTTACTCCTATGCCCTCATGAACACACAGTGTGTGTCAGGCTCCAGCCTCCATCAGAGTGACAGTAGAATTATGTGATGGCAGCTCTGTGGAGGATAGGAATAAAAAGTAAGATTTTGGGGTTGTTGTACTTCCTCTCCAAGGATTCACGAAATTCTCTAGTCATTAGCATGTAATGTTGGCTCTTGAGGCCATTGCATCCCATGGCAAATAGGAGATGTGTTGCTAAAAGAGGGAGCTACATATTTTCATTCTGCCACCTTTGTTCAATTTGCCTTTTCTAGGTAGGCTTTGGGTACAGCTCCCACCAAATTGTTTTGTCAAGGATTTGATCTCTGTTGCAACTGGGGAGGTAAAAGGCAAAACATGTGTCTTCAATTAAAAAAAAAAACCAAAACAATCAGCAACAAATCCTATCTGTAATTCGTAAGTGTGTAGTTTCTGAATATATAAATGCTTTTTTCACCTGCAAGTTTGCCTTATAGGACAAATATTATCCCCAGTGCCCTGGCCCCTGCAGGGGAAAGGGTGCAGAAATCTAAATATTATGTTTAAAATGATCCTGGTTGTAAAGAGCTAGAGCCAAAATATCTAAAAGACAGCTTTTATACCCTGATATTTGTTTCAACCTGTGAAAAGAACAGTGGCTGAGTGCTTGTTAAAGGTATATTTTCTTTTAAGTTATATGGAGAGAGATGTCAACTATTTACCATAAATATATTTATACATTTGAATATATAAATGATAGTGTTACTTACCTTTAGTAGGTTTCCCACTGACAGGTATGCTCAGAAAACATCTTTCACTAAACCTGAAATGTTGATATAAATATCTGAAGAAAAATACTAATCACAGAATACATTGAACAGACTTACTGATCTTGTATACCTGGAAAAAGATTTTCAAACAGACTTTGTCAGCTCAGCCTTGGCATTCCTTGTCAAACAAAAGCATGCCTAAAGACACATTTCAAAAGCAGACAATGCAGCACTTGCTAACCTGCAGAAAATCGAAAAGGATCAGGGAGGCAGAGAACAAACAGAATAGGTAAGCAATAAGAAATGGAACACAGCTCTAAAGAGCTGTTTCAGAGAGCCAAATATGTTTAAAGAAGCCTATATTAATAATTAAACATCAGTAAGTAAAATTCCAGTGTACTTTTTTTGCCAGTATTGTTTTAAGATTTGTAATATAGAAATGAAATTATTGATTTGGTATCAGTAAGGAAGCATAACCGGTGTTAGGGGAGGAAGAAGCAGGTGGGGGGCAGAGAATGAGGCAGGAGTATTTTTAGATGCCAGGCTAGTCTGGAATGTTAACTTTCTGTAATAGAAAGTCCATACTTCAGTATTCGTCCACTTCAGTCAGCTGAAAATTTGGGTCAGGCAGCTGTTATTTGAATTGACAGCAGCTATCTGATTAAAAGTAAAATGCTCTTAAAAAAAAAAAAGGGAAAAGAGGAAGGAGAGGGGAAAAAAGGCTGTGCTGTGTCACATTCACGCCACTCATGTTGCTTACGTTGTGTCACACTGTGCAGTGATTTGATGCTACATAACACAACATGACATGAGTCACAGTTCACTGCTATCCACATTACACTCAGGTAGTTTGGCATAGCTCTAACTTTTGCTTTACTCTCATTTCCTATTCAGTGCACTCCACTTAGGCTGGTTGGTTAATGCAGACAATTGCTATACACTCAAAACTAGAGTTCCCTACCCAAATACATTTTTCATTGGATATTAAAGTGGAAACTTCAGTGGATATCTTTTGCACATCCATATGCAGCTCCTTTGCTCAACATAGCAAGGGCATTAATGACAACTTACACCTGAAAGGGAGGAGTTAAGGGGAATTTCCCATAGGAAATACAGCTGTGGCAGTGACTTTCTGGGTTGGAGACATACTCTCTAAATGGAAAATAATTAGACTTTTTTCTGCCACCAGAGACATTCCCAAACCAAAACTTCATATTAACCTCCCAACCTCCCCTTCAATTTCAATTTGAATTGAATACCTTTCTGTTTCACAAGGATGTGAAATATTATTTCAGATCTGAATTTATAAGCAGTCTGTAGCAGGTGGAACCAAAGCTCCACATCTCCCATGCCTAGGATATGGGCAGTTCAACATCTTTTCAGGGCTTTGCACTTTGGATCTAGCTGTTTAATTGGCTGTTTCCCAAAAATAATAGTCTATTTTCTTTGTGGTCACCTACCTCAGGCAAACAGCATCAGCCCTGGAGCACAGTTAAATTGCACTGTTGCTTCCTGTAATGAATTTCCCAGCCTGTCAGAGCATCTCATACATCTTATCTTTGTTCTAAACAGAAGTAGAGAAGAGCACAAATTAACAGGCATCTTTGTGCTTCTTTCATTTTTATTGACAGCATCCTGAAGTTCTAGATCCACTTAGCACCTCCAAAGAAGCGATAAGTGATTTAGCTTTTTGGGGACAAATTGGTTCTATTAACTCTGAGTGCCAAATTTACCAAAAATAACTCATTAGCTGTGCATTATAATTCACAGGGTGCTCTGCTCTTGGCTAGATCCCAAAAACCACATTTGTGTACAAATGTTCCTATTATGGGGTGTGAGACTTACTAATGGCATACCATATGCACCAGTGCATTTTTCTCTTTCTAACAATGCAGTTTTCCTAGCACAGATGAGAAGTGACCAGATTCTGAAGGGTTAAACATATTCTAATGTGGTAAAACCTGAGAGACCCCAGGAATCAAGCTATCATTCAATTTCCCTTTTTCTGTTGCTAGCATTTGAACCTAATATTCCTTCCTCTACATTTAATAAGCAAACAAGGGAGCCAGCAGAAAAATTTAGTCAAGAATTTGGTATCTGCTGCTAAGTTTAAGTTTACTGGACAACAAAAGTGCTCATTATCACTGTTCCCTTTGAAAAAAAAAAAAAGCTGTAATTCACAAACAGTTCCTGCCCCACAGCTGGCTTCTCACACTCTGAAGGGATGGATTCTTCACAACTGAGAAGTTGTCTGATACTGTGGTAAGTGGAACTTACTTTTCTGTGTGTTTAAGAGGAATTCGTGTAGTTACAGGTCCATAAGGAAAGCAGTGGGTAATGTGAAAAAGGCTGGAGATTGTTTCTGTCTTCTCATCTCTTGGTAGTAAATGCAAGGCTGTAATTTCCCTTTGTTCTGAATACTCTTGGCACCTTCTGCCTAGAGAGCAGAGACAGAGCAGCCCCTAATGAACATCCAGTCCTTATGCTAATGGCACTAAGTAACTGGGAAAATGTGTCTCCAAGCCAAGATAAAATATCCTTTCCATAATCCAAGGAACAGCCAGGGAAACCCTCTTTTTGACCTGCCTGTGGAGGCAGTGAGGATGATGACTGTGCTTGTGGGGCAGCTCAGGCACTGATGGTCTGTCCCTGCTCCACTCCAAGCTTCCCCTGTGGCCTTTGGCTGCTCTTTTGGGGCCCAGCTACAATGGCACAGTGTGGTACAAGCCATCCCTGACTCCTGCACCTGGATTTATTCTCTGTTATCATTCATCAACTCCCCCCCCATGCAAGCATTCTTTCTGCTATGGACAGGAGCATCGTCCCCTTTCCTCTTCAATGTTTCTAATGCTCTATGTCAAAAGGCTTTTATTTCTGCTACTTAACTTGGTAGCTGGAGTTCTGCCTCCATGCTTCCCCTTCCCTATTCTCTCAGCACTTTGGCAATTAATTGAGTTTTCTAGTGTAGTAAGCTGAAGTTTTTCACCACATAAATGATTCATCCAAATAAAGTGAAGTTATTGAGCAAAAGTTAAATTGGGCTTTAATTTGCCTCAGGTGCCTTTTGAGCCATCTCCTTGCTTGCTCCTTTTTGTGGAAATGTTTCCCTCTTTGAAAATGGTTTTCTTTAAAATACTATTTGAAAGAAAAGGAAAGAGGAAAAAAAAGTTGTTTGGGCATTTCTACAGCTGGTGCCAGGTCTAGGAGATGTGTGTTGTCTGAGGGAGTTAATTGCTCTATGAACTTCCTTTCTGTCTTTATTCAGGTCTGATGGCTGAAGGGAAGCGTGGGAAGAGTATGGATGAACAGCTGTGACAAAATTCTGGTTCCTTGATTTTCTCCAGTACCCCTGCTTCAGTCTTGTGGCCAAAAGGAATAAAAAACAGTGTCTCTTCCATTATTCAGATAATAGTGGTTTTAATGCTTTTATCCCTGGCCTTCCAAAAGGGCAGTTGTCCCTTAGCCTGTCCTCTAAATCCTAAGCCTGCAAGTGAGGACCCTCGAGGTGCAGTATGAAATCTGCTGGAAAATGAGATGCAGTATCATGAGGAATATGGACCCAGGTAGAGGAATCAGTCACATCCTAATTTTGACAGGCTTGTGCTAGCAAAGGCTGTTACAATACTGTGAGGCAGCTGCTTCTCATGATGTGGTGTGTCATTACAGAGATTCACACGCAGACTGATGCTTCAATACCCTGCCACTTTTGTGTGAAAAATAAGATCATATTATATGCAAGATAATACTGTATTCATCACTTAATATTTTATACAATTAAAATATTAAGCTAAGTAACAGTGTGTTGGAGCGGGTGTGTTTGTGTACATGTGGTATAAATAAGTATAAATAAACAAGTATTAACGGTGCAATAGCACTGAATAATTTATCCAGACCAAATGAATTATTTTAAGCCTCTTAGTCTTGAAAATTTCAAAGTGAATTCCCTAAGTTCATTTAAAACTTTCATTTTTTCAATAGTCATGTTGTGGTATAGAGTAGCTGTGATGTGTCAGGATATCCTAAATAGCTTAAGGATATGATGGCTGGAGATATCCTATCAGATAGTCTGATGAGAGATTATACTTCTGTCTGCAAAATGTGCTGCTTTACTAATCAATAAATTTAGTTTGTATAAGCCCTAGTTTCTATGGAAGTGATATAAATGTTTGAGAGCAAGTTAATACAGAGCCCAGAGAATCAGTGAATACTGAAACCCCCCCCAAGTATCAAAGTGAGACCAAGTGGAAAAGGGAGGATGGACTGATCAGAGACAAACTGATGTAAGTAGCAATAGAAGTAGCAATTTAAAATATAAAATGCCTTAGAATGCCACTGCAGATCAGGGTTTGCCCAAGATACTGCAGTAGGACCAGAGCACTGATAAGAGCTTGCAGGATGCAGTGTTCGCCTCTGCAGTGTCACTGTGATCAGAGATTCCCATCATGGTGTGGTAACCTTTTGAATCTGATTCACCCCTTTTCTTCAGTGCTTGCCTTGGGCCGCACCAGATCCATCTGGCTACCTGTCTTGCTTTTCCCACCCCTGTCACAAGGATTCCTGCCAACTGCTTGTCTCCCAACATGCAGCGTTCACTGCCCCTGAAAGCACTGCCTTCTGCTACTCAGGGAAGACAGCACTGAGGAGCAGTGAACTGGCAGATTGACAAATAAGCTGAGACTGACCCAGGGCTGGCACCCTCCAGAACTTGCTTATATTTTTGTGTTGGGCATGATTATCTCTAAGTGTAGCCCTGATTCCAGCTGTCATTTTAGGTCAGATGCATAATATCAGTTTACAGAACAAGTGTAGCTAAAGGACCCTCATCCGTCATAGCCAGATGGAGGAAAAAACTACAAACAAACAAAGTAGGTATCAGGAATGCCTGGGACATGCTATCACTCTGGCACTCCTTCAGCACAGGAACCTGGGCAGTGGCACTGATTAACATGGTCAACTGCACTGCAACAATCTTCTATGAAACCACTGTGTGCTGCAGAAATTAACCTGAACACCTTGGCTGCATGACATTTTCTTCCCTGGTACAACCTGCGATATATTTGCAAGGTAAAGAGTAGAACCCAAAGTACTTGTAGCAAAAAGCAAAGTATCACACTAAGAAAACCTTCCATACAGGCTGTTTCTCTATCAGAAATTAGTGCTGATCTTGTAAACAAGATGTCCTTTCTGTGAGGAGACTGTTGCTACACAAGGCAACAACTAAATAATTTATTCCTTGTTGATGTCACCTTAAAATAGGTTGAAATTCCTCTTTACAAAGGAAACAGAGTTTTCTTTTTCTTCCTCCATGTATCTTTCATCCAATTTTTGTTTTTGTAGAACTTCTCAGAGCAATGATCCCATGCTTGAAAGGTGTGTGCTTCCCTGGCAAGAAGAAATGGATTATTATTACAGCTTCCCTTCTTGTGCTACTCCCTCTTTTCCTCAGCTTTTTTTTGCCACTGGCCACATGTTGCTGGAAGTACTCTCCAAATGCATCCTGCCTCACTCATGTGTCAGGTGCTAGGTTTGCATTCTGAGATACCCTGAGAAAGCTTCTGCTGGACCTTTTGTGAACGAAGACGCAGGAAGGTGAGGTAACTCACTTCACCTCTCCAGTGCAACATGGGTTCTCACTGGAAAACTGGATGAAAGCTTTGGCCTGTGGCAATGCTCTTCCTTCCTATGGGCTCCTGCAGTCAGCTGTGTGTGGGTATCTCAGGCTGGAACTGGGTGGTGGTTACTTACTGCACTCCTTAGGCTGTATGTCTTGTCATATTTTGTCA